GCTGCGTGACGGCTATTAATTCATACATACATGCATACGTACATGCATACTGCATACATACATCAGACAGACCCAAACCGACAGAGACAGGCGGGCCGACAGACAGCCACATTTGATAGAGATGGGCAGACGGAAACGGACAGACAGAGAGAGACACACGGAGAGTCTGCATGTATGCCTTTGCCAAAGATTGTGCCATGCATATGTTGCCCCACTATTTATGCGTCTGTATGTGGGTGTGCATGTGCAGATGTACGCATGCATGAACTGTATTTATGCAGGTGTATATTGATGTTGTATGCATGAATGTAAGACAGCAGGAAAGTAGTGTAATAATGTGATGCTGTTTTGTGCAATACAAAGTAATGTTATGTAAGTTACGTGCTGTACCGGCTGTGCTAGAAGGTACTGCAACGTACTGTGTTTAAGAATCCGATGCAATGCCGTGTACTGCAAGGCAGTACTGCAAGGCAGTACTGCAGTGTACTGTTATGCGGTTTTGTGTACTGCAACTTGGGGCAAAATGCATGCTGACATGTTTCGGTTGCAAACACACACACATACATGCATACCTTGTTTACACCGATGTGCACAAAAAACTATGGCCAGATGCAAAATTCTGGAAGGCATCAGCCTTTGGGCAACCATGTAAATACCAATATCTTTCTCCCTCTCACTTTGTTTCTCTGTGTCTCCATCTCTCTCTCTCTCGGTTGTTCGTCGTGTCCATGCACGAACATGCATGAATGCATGCGTACATGTGTACCCAGAAATTGTGTGCGTGTTTGTGTGTGATCGCTTCGTCCCGAGAGCCTTGAGGACTCGCTCTTTTTGCCATTCCCCCAGTGCTCTATGCAATTCACACCTCGGCCTTTAACCCGTATTCCCAAGTCCTGATGCAGCACTATGATTCTCAGCTAGAGGACCCTGAGGTTTTGCACAGTGCCCAGATCGCCTCCTGAGGCGTCAAGACTACTCGCTTGACCTACAAAATGCTGACAGATGGGTCCTAGTGGGATAAACGGATAAACCCCAAAGCCCCTAAGCTTTCTAAACCCCGCACCCTAGGGTTTGGCATCCCTTGACATGGGGATGCCTCGGACGGGTCAGAATTGTTCCTTCTTCGGCGACTGCACTTTGGCGTTAACAGTGGTAAGAGCGGACCGAGGCCGCTGCAAGTCCGGCAGTTGAAGAAGGCCTTGTGGGCAGCTTCTCTCCTGGTCGCAGTTGCCAAACTTTGCAGAGCCCTGTGCCCATGGAAACGCGCATGGTCGTGAACGTTAGGCTCGTGCTTCAAAGCTTTGACACGGCATCGGAGGATTGTGCCAAGGCTCCAACAGTAGATTCCAACAGCAACAGGCTGACTGATATCCGCCCCTGTTGGGGCAGCGGTAGGCCATTTGTGCTTGTTCTGTTGTAGTGTGTGTTTGCGCTAGGGGACAACGACCCCGGAGAGATCCGCATCGCAGCTTGCCTGCTATCCTACCAGACACGAGATGGCTACGACGCAAGGTTGGGAAGGGGCTGCGTTAGGTATGGTCAGGTTAGTGTTCCTGATAGAGAGCCCCTCCAGGCCTTGGCTTCGAGTGCCTCCATGTGCCTCGTACCTCACCTGCTAAGCCAAGGAGACACCCCGGTGAGGCGCAGCAAGCAGTGGAGGCTGGTGGAAGGTGTTGCTGTCTAAGAAGGGCGACATGAACATGACATTGAACTGCTGTGTGCTCGATCAATATAGTGCCATTGCAACCAGCCTGCTCTTCGCGATGCTGGGCTCCCGTGCATGTGTCTCTCCAGCTTCCATATAAGAAGCACTGGCACAGCCTGCTATCAAACAGCCTCTGTTATACACCCAGAGCCCTGCAAAAGCAAATTGAAAACTTGTTGGTTCAAAGCCCTTCTCGGCCCATGGAACTGGCCAAAGAGCCCGACCAGACTCCGAGTGCTTCAAGGGCGTCCAAGGAGCTGGGCCGGCGACCCTCTTCCGAAGCGGGTGCCTTGTCTCGAATTCGGCGTCATCGAAGCTTAAGCTTGTGCAGGTCTTCGGAGGTTTGAGTCCGAGAGCCCTTGACTCGCGTGCAGTGCAATGCAGTGCACCTGAGGTGAAGACGTGGACCGTATTGCCAGCCAGGCAAGGCAGGCGATCGTCGAAAGCCGACGGCTTCTGGATGCGCAGTCCTCGCGCAGCGGATTCGGCTCTGTAGCCGGCGACCACAGCGACCGCAGTGATCGCACATTGCAAAGCTCCAGCCGCCCTGTGGCCAGTTCTGTGCATGGCACCGTGTCGGAAGAGCTGGAGCGACAGCGGCGGCGCCAGCAGGACCGTGAAGCCGAACAGGCCGCATTGGAGCTGGAGAAAAACTTCGATGAGGCGATGCGCAAGAAGAGGCTGGCCACACGTCAAAGCGAGGCCCTCCTACACGAGTGCCAGGCAGAGCTGGAGAGGCGCACAGAGAGCTCAGCCGCCTCTCGTTCTGCCGAGGTCAGGGAAGAGGCTGCGCAGTTGCGCCAGGCAGCCAAGAGGGCTGAGGACTCGGCGCGGCAACACGCGAGTGAGCAGCGAGAGCTGCGGCAAAGATTGCAGCAGCTTGTCGATGCGGCCAAAGCAGAAGTGGCGACAGTGGCACAGAAGCGTGCGGAAGACAGCAAGCAAAGGCAAGCGTCCTTACGCAAGCAGCAGAAGCAGTTACAGAAGGCCAAGGGCACATGTGCAGAACTTTCTCAGCGTATCCAGCAGACAAAGCAGACATGCGAAGACACGGAGCGGCAGATACACTCAATCGGAGCGTCTGTCGCCAGCTTCCGGCGAACAGCCGTGGAAGTCGCAGCTCTGGCTCAAGCTCTTCGAAGCCGCTTGGACGGTGAGGAGACGGAGACTCAGACAGCTGAGACGGAGACTTTAACTTTAGAGAGCGGGGAGGGTCAGGGCTCTCTGTGTGATACCGGCGGATCGGACACCGGCGTGCAAAAGCTGGAGCTGGCAAAGGCAGCGCTCTCTGCCAAGGTGGCTGCCGCTTGGGAGCGTTGCCGGAGCTTGGAACAAGAGGCACTTTCCAGCGCCAGAAAGGCGGAGGAGCTCTCTGCTTTGGTAGAGCACTATCAGCTCCAGCTCTCGCAGCCGAGCCAAGGCCCGGGCGCCGACGATGCGGAGCTTCGGGCTGCCAGCGAGGAGCATGCCGAGTTGAAGAAGGTGCACCGCCAAGCTCTGGCACAACTGGATGGTCAACACTTACAAAAGCTGGTGACCAGCCTCGCAACGAGTCGGAGTTCCAAGGCAGAGAATGCGCAATCGCCGACGAATGCCACCGGGCTGTCCGAGACAGCACAGAAGGTCGTTCGCTGTGAGGTCGAGCACGTTCGTGAGCTGTGCTTCGTCGAAGGACGCATCGCGGAGCAAGAGCTGTCGCAGTACGAGGCTCTCATCGCTCGGCCGGCTCGGGCAGCTGAGGTGCAAAGCTCACCTTCCAGCACGTTGCGAGAGGTGCAAGGCAGGGCAAAGCTGAGGGCTGCAGGACTGGCCAAGGGCTCCTGCCATCGGCTGGGCACTCGTCTAGAGGATTTTCTCCGGCATGGTGAAGCCCAGGACTTGGACCTCTCTGGAAGGATTGCACCGGTGCTAGTGGAGTCTCTCAAGAGCAGCATCCACAAGAGCATCGAGAAGGCCAAGCCAGAGTTGGAGATTTGGGGATCCAAGCTGGCCCAGCTTGGAGAAAAGCCCACTTTGCCTGAAGGCGCGTCCCTTGGGGAAACGTTGGCCGCTTGCCAAAGCCAAGCGCAGTTGTGCGCGGAGCTCCGCCTGTCCATGGAGCCTCTCGAGAAGGAGGCCGCCGACAGGGGACAGCAGCGCTCCGAGGAGCTGCAGCGAGGGGCAGCGTTGCGGACACGGCTGGAGGAGGCGCTGCGAGCGGAAGCAGCGATGGGTGCGGAGCTGTGTTCGAAGCTAGAAGAGGAGTGCCGGGAGGTAAAGGTGTCGGTGCAGGGCCTTGAGCTTTCATCGAGCCACGAGGCGCAAGCGTGCGCCCGGCTGCGGGAGGAGTTGCATTGCAAAGAGGAGGCTTTCGACCAGCTCGCGGCGCGTGTAGCAGGCCTTGAGCGTGCAGACGCCGAGCTGGAGGAGCGGCGTTCGCAGCTGCGTCGTCGCATGGTCGCAGTGTCTAAGGCACTTGATTTCAAGGCGGCCCAAGCTGAAGAAACCCACGAGGAGGCGGAGGCGTGCTGCGCAGCCCGGTCAAAGGCAGTCGTCGCAACCGAGGCAGAGCGCACTGTGCTCTGCGCCGCGCTGGCCAACCTGGAGGCTGAGAAGGCATCTCTCTCCCAAGAGCAGCTGCTGCACCCTGACACATGTCAACACGACCGAGCGACAGAGGGCGAAGCCCTTAGCACCCACAAGCCGGTGCATGCTCGTTAATGCCACGATCCAGAAACAGGCAAAAGTGGGATTTGACATGATCTCCTCTCAGTGGTACTAGTAGATCGCAATACCCGGCCTGATAAGGCACTTCGCGGCCACCCCAAACTCTCCAAGATGATCTGCTTGCCAGGGCACAGCTCCTTTCCACAGCGAGCCTTCTGAGGGGCCGAGTCTGGTCAAGCTACATTCCGTACGAACAAAACAGATCCCAAGCGTTGCAGGGCAAGACCTGAAGGGCATGAGATTACAGGATCTCAGGGTAACCATGATAAGGTTCGCCGTGGGTGACGAATTCCGATAAAGTGTTTCTGGCTTGAGCAAGTCTTTGATAAGAACCCGATCCCCAACCCCCATGAATTGAACCAGCCTGCGACTCGTTCAGGGTTCTTGCTATTCCCTCGTAAAGGGATTGAAGGATAAACAAATGCTTTGAGCCGGTGGTGTAGAGGCTGGGCAGCTGTGGAGAGTCGGCGCGTGGAAAAGAAGAGTAATGCCTGCATCGAACCTCCGGAAGTTCATGTCCTGCACCTCTCTACAACCCCTAAAGAAGGTCGGACGCCAGCCTACTGATCGCCAGCGCCGAACCTCCTAAATGTCGCGGAGCCACCCGCGCCCAGAAGCCGAGGTGATGATCTGCCTTGACAATTCGGATTTTACGAGGTGGGGACGCAGGGCTCTCAAACAAAATCTGGGATTGTGCACAATCCCGACACACCGCAGGAATGGCGACTACATGCCCACGCGCTTCGACTCACAAACTGATGCAGCCAACCTTTTGTGTGGTGCAAAGTGTAGCCGGCAAGTTTTTTGAAGGGCTGCACCCTGGAAGCCCGTTCTGGCACGAGCCTAAAACCGAGCCAAAAGCTGCAGACCTCAAGGAGTTGCCTCTTTCATCCCAAGCTTGTTGACCCTTCGGCCGAAGCCAGGACCAATCAGAATCCAGAGAATGCCGTTGGCATCCTGGCTAGTGCCGGAGACCGGATCGAGGCTGGTTCAACATGATAGGCCGTTCAGTCTCGCAGTCGGGGCAGTTAGTTGCATGTCTCTGAATCAGCCGATTGCTAGCGTCACTGACGATCGACATCCCAGCTTGAGGAAATGTTTTGATCAACTTAATTTGGCCTTCTGCCATGCCATTGATGGCATTGCTCAGTTCCTTGCGAGAAACTGCACCGATTAGCCACGCAACGACAATCTCTGTAGCGCTTGTTCCCTAAACTTAGTGGAACGACGGCGGTCAGTACTGGTGCTAGTACTTGTATGACGACGACTCCGACGACGACCATTGCTGCTGCTGCTGCTGCTGCTGCTGCTTCGGCGCCTCTTACTCCATTGCTTTCAATCATGTCGCCAGGAGAAGGTACAGTCAGTTTTCGGTTTGGGAGAAAAGCTGGAAGTTTAGGAGGCATGTTCTGAACAAGGCCTGATCTTGCAGCGGAACCCACCAAATCGTCTCCTCCAGGTCATGGTGACCCCAACAGCAGATTTGGGAAGACTGGTCGGGAGCCAGAGTTGGCTGCGGATGAGAGCCATATCCCGACAATCTATCGCAAACTCTAGGATCCGAGACACTGAAGCCCACGCACACGCTCTACAGCGATCCTGCAAGTGAAGTGAGGGAAGCAAAGCAGCATGTTCTGAGGTGACTGAGCTGAACAGAGTTCAGATAGGCCCAATTCCTGCCTTTTTGAATTTGGATTTAGAGATTTTAGAGGTTCCCATGGCGACTCAAAGTAGCTTTAGGTTGTGGGATTGGGATGAAGTCCACACCCGCAAGGACCAGAGCTTTCGGTGTTGAAGCACCCTTCGGGGCTCTTGCGGGACGTATGACCCTCAAACCCTACACCACAAGCCTTAAACCCAAACGCGAAAGACGTGACAGGCGGCAGTTCCGATCTGCTCCGAGCCATTCAGACAGCGCAGCTAGTGCGGGACTTAGAAGCTCCGTGCCATCCCCACAACGGGCCGCGAGGAGCTGAAACCCCCAAGTACTTGTAGCAGCAAAGCTAACAAAACTCTTGAAGCGAGCCTCTTGGAACGGCTTGGAGTTGGCTTTCTCGTTTCCGACACCTGAGGCCTTTAGGGCGCTCTTTCCAAAGGACCTGTCCTTGACTTTGCTGAGGCCCTGAAGCACAGGCAAAACAAGAAGCAGAAACAGAGGCAACGCTCTGTGTTGGATGCTCTGCCACTTGCTGTCAAGCATTTCGTCCGCGTGCATCATCCAGCATTTGGGTCAGGCGGGCTGGTACGATCCTGCTGCGACAAAACGGTCGGATATGCATGTATGTATGTACGTATGTATGTAGGCATGTATGTATGACTGTATGCATGCAGTTTACCAGTTTCAGGCTTTGAAAGGCTCAATCTTAAAGCTCTGCCCTGGTGTGTCCTCGAAACCCGGAAGTCGATTGCGTCAGGATCATCGCATTCGTTGGCAGCCCGGTAACTGCCACGGAGAAGGAGCTCGGCGTTCAGAATGCACAAAGCTCCGAATTGGGTTTATCCATGCAGGGGCGACGGTTTAAGACTGCCAGAGCCGCGAAGCGGAAGTTTGACTTTCATTGAGCGACAGCATCCAGGATTGACTTCAACTCCGACTTCCCAACTTCCGAAATCCTTAAATCACCAAGTCGCGAAGCGTTCTTGGACGAAGGAACTTGAAACATTGGGCAAGAACCTGAAAAAGAACAGCCCCTTTGCTGCAGAATGGGATCTGACTTTCAGGGGGGAAGGCAGGGTAAGGATTGCCTGAAGTACGCAAGTCTTCAACGCAGATCCTAAACTCGCCATCTCCAACCCCTCTTCGTTTTAGCAAATGTATTACTTTGGGGGCTTGGAGTTCGGTGCCTGGGGCCATGTGGGGTTCCACATGTTCGATGCTTTCCTTACAGCTTCCCATTGGTTGTGATGGTGTTGTATGGGGTGGTACATTCCTTTGCATATTGCGTAGAGGTGTGCTATGGTGCGCTTTGCTAATTTTTCTCGCTTTTTGGAATCGCCAGCAAGGCCTTCATTTGTGAGGACAGCCAGATATGATGTCTTCGTAATGTCGACTGTTATGCTTGTAGACGTCCGAGGTGTGGCCCTTGATCTCGTCAGCTTCGGCGAGGTGGAGGAAAATGCGCGGGCCTTGCTGAGGATCACTGATTGAACAAGGTCATGTTTTGGACATTGCCGTTCGACGTTCCTTTCTCGCTTTAGGTCATAGAGTCATACTCATGTTGTTCATGACGTGTTTGTCGAGTGCTACCCGTGGGTGGCAATGGTTGCAGCTGTAGTGGGGCTTGCTTGCACTTTTGATGCCTGTTCCTAGCAAAGGCATTGCAAGCTGCTAGCATACCGAAAGTGATATTCCTCCTCGGACTTGATTGGCAGATTCTGGAAGCAAAATATACTCCTGGCGCAATGCTTGTTGGACCCTAAACCCTTCCTAAACAACAACTGCTCGTCCTACTCCTTCGACTCCTCCTACTGCTGCTGCTGCTGCTGCTACAGCCACAATAGCTACGGCTACTGCCACGACGAGGAGGAGCAGGAGGAGGAAGATACTGCTACTGCTACTGCTACTAGTACAACAACAACAACTACTACTACTACTACTACTACTACTACTACTACTACCACTACTACTACACTCCTACTACTACTACTACTACTACCACTACTAGTACTACTAGTACTACTAGTACTACTAGTACTACTAGTACTACTAGTACTACTAGTACTGCTACTACTACTGCTACTACTACTACTACTACTACTACTACTACTACTACTACTATAGTCTTTGCTGTTGCTAATTCTACAAAGTTATGCGTTGCATCTCTATTGAATTTTGTCGTGGCATCGTGGCACCCATCAATGAATCCACTAGCCAAGACAATACTTTTTTGTAGACGAAAACAGCGACAACCACCGCAACTGCGGCTTCGACTACTCCGACTGTTCTGTCATAATTATTTGGTCATGATTATTTGTGCTACTGGTGATGAAATCTTAGTCTCATGTCTTATCTGATGTAAAGTTCTAGCTTTAACTATGACATGTCTGCTTTCTTGTCCATGCGATGATCGTGGTGTTGGTGTTTGTTATGTTTATAATTCTTACGCTAAGCCTCCCGGTTGCTTTTCATGGGCTCATACAGATTCACTTCAGGTTTGTGGTAACTCTCGCATCTCGAGGCGCCGAAGCTAGAAAAGTTGATGAAGGCTTTGAACAGCGAAGACACGTCGCATCTGCCGGGCTCTCAGTGTCCAGGATGAGATGCTTCGTTTGAATTGAACTTTCGGAGGGTCCATCAGTGGGTTCGATGAAGAAGCCTGGTCTCTCAAGCCTGATGTTACTGCTTCCCGGATTTGGCAACAGGTGCTGCAGGCGTCGGGGCTCCTGCTGAGGGCTGCCTCCGAACCATTACCATGTAACGAATGTATTGTTGCGGCTGCTACTACTGCTGCGATCGCTCGGGCTAGTAACAGTACTTGCGCTCCTCCTCCTCCTCCTCCTGCTACTAGCAGAAGTAGAGTTGCAGGAGCAGTAGTATGGTGGTGGTGGTGGTAGTAGTAGTAGCAGTAGGAGGAGGAGGAGGAGGAGGAGTACTAGTGGTAGTGGTGGTGGTAGTGGTAGAGGTAGTGGTAGTGGAAGTAGCAATGGCAGTGGCAGTGGCAGTGGTAGTGGTTATGGTAGTGGCAGTCGTCGTGGTAGTGGTGGTGGTCGTGGTAACGGTAGTGTTAGTAGTATAGGTAGAAGTAGTCGTAGTCGCAGTAGTAGTAGTAGTAGTCGTCGTAGTAGTAGTAGTAGTAGTAAATAGGAGTAGTAGAAGCAGCAGCAGTAGTAGTAGGAGTAGCAGTGCAGTAGCAGTAGCAGTAGCAGTAGGAGTAGTAGTAGTAGCAGCAGGAGTAGTAGGAGTCGTAGTAGTAGTAGTAGTAGTAGTAGTAGTAGTAGTAGTAGTAGTAGTAGTAGTAGTAGTAGAGGAGCGCCCCCCAGGCGTGTGATATTTGTTTTTCTACGTTTTTTGGCGTTTTGCTAGGTGGTTGACCGCAAGCAGTAACTCAGTAGCGGCGGCGCCGGTAGCAGTAGCAGCAGCAGTAGCAGTAGCAGCAGCAGTAGTAGCAGCCGCGCCTCTGCAAACACAAAACCTCGAAAAAAACGATGCGCGCCCCACCCAATCATCATCCTCACCATCGTCAGTCATCGTTAACCTGACCATCTTCATCATCATCATCATCCTCATCATCATCATCATCTTCATAACATCGTCCTCGTCATCTTCAACATCATCGTTAACCTGATCATGTTCATCATCATCCTCATCATCACATAATACCGCCATTCTCGTCACCAGTCACCCGGGACCCTCCCCCCCCACCCCCGCCCACCGGAATCCGGGACCCGCGACCCGAGACCCGGAACCCGGAACCGGGCGGAACCCGGAACCGGCCCCCGGAACGGACGGAACCCAGGGCCCGGGCCCCTTGGTGCAAGAAAAACGATATCCCCCATAATCATCATTTTTATCGTCATCATCATACACCCAAGTAAGTAGTTTAATTGAAGTTGGCTTAACTACAATTTCTCAAAACTCTCAAAAACCCAGCATTTTACACCCTCGAACCACTGAAAACTACCAGGCGCCAGGAGGCATACAACCCTAGTAGTAGTAGTAGTAGTAGTAGTAGTAGTAGTAGTAGTAGTAGTAGTAGCAGCAGTAGTAGTAGGAGGAGGAGGAGGGGGAGGAGGCGTAGGCATAGAAGTAGGAGTAGGATTAGGAGTAGGAGTAGGAGTAGGCGTAGGCGTAGGCGTAGGAGTAGGAGGAGGGTTAGTAGTAGTGGTGGTCGTATAGTACAGGTACCAGCACTAGTACTGCTGCTATTGCAGCTACTATTGCTATCCTTAGGAAGCCTTTCTTGCAGACTACGGCGCTGACGAGGTCAGGTCACTGCTGGCATACCGAATCTCTGCTACCGAACACTCCTTCATACTTCTGAACGCTTGTCTGTCAATAATCCTCGGCGTGAGCTATTTTAGCAGAAGGCCTGCTCGTCTTGCTTCAGGCTAGAGGCGCCGGTAGGCCCCAAGCTGCTGAGCGACATCCTCCTCTCTTCGCCCATCGTCAACCCCGACGGAGAGGCCGACATGGCTGTTTCCGAAGTATGAGTATTTGTGTTTTGTGGTAATTTCTTACTCTTTATTGCTAGTCTTAATGCTGCTCCACAACTTTGATACCGGTACTAGCAGTACTGCGATGAGGACGACCAAAGCTATATGCCAGGAAATAAGACATTGGCATCGTACATGGCCGTCTAGGTTGGTTGGTTCTATGCAGAAGCTCAAAGCATTTGAATATATGCACACGGCGCAACTATTTGCATGCAACCTCCATGTATGGTATTTATGTATGTATGTATGTATGTATGTACACATACATGTACATGTACATGTATATGTATATGTATATGCATATGTATACGTAGTTGTACATGATCATGTGTCAACACAAGCCACTGTGTGCATTGCCGCAACGTACGAATCATGCATACGTGCAGTACAGATCACCGTAGTTTGCTGTCCATCTTCTCCGAATCACTGTTGTAGCTGTACTGCCACGGAATCCTTTGTGCGTGTGCTTCTAGGTTCGCCATGGGCACCAGGTCGTCTCTGAGTTCACGATATGCAGTAAGAGATGGAACTCGTGAAGACTCTGCTTTCAAGCTGTCCGGGATGCAGGACCCTTCAATTCACCGCACATGCTTTGTTATTGTGTTCGGGATGGAAGCCGGCGACGGAGCAAGCAACTACCACTCTCCTCGTCGTCGAAGACCCATATGACACGATGACCTATACAGACCATCGAGCCCAAAGCCTCGGTCCTGCGACAACTGGGAGTGCTGACAGGCAGCAGCCATGGGCGGCGAGGGCGGCGATGCCGGTTTCGAGTTCGGCATAAATCCCAACGATGATCCGGAGCCTGGGTGTCGGGAGGGAGGCTTCGCATGCTCTGCTTCGGTAGCGGGGCAGCTGCCCACGCAGAGGTCGTGGAAACCCTGCATCTGGAAATAGGACGTGGGTTCGCAGCGTACTGAATTGTGTAGGCACTCTTGCAAGAAACACACATGCCTGCATATGCAAACATGTTACATATTAGTAGATCTAGATATGTGCAGATACACCGGTATGTATAGCCCCAGAACCAAACAAACATGATACCGGGTCCCGGGCCCTATACCCGCCGTCACCATCGCCTGCCTCTGCCCCCTCTCAGGGCAATCTGTGACAATAATCACTTGGATCGAGCCTGTTCAGAGCCAGGGTCTCCTGGCTACAGTAGCTGGCATGTAGTCGTGATCTGCAGGCTAGTTGCTGTTTCTGTTTTTGGCAGGTGGTGTTTGCACTCCCTGCCTGCCGGAACAGCACCCACCGCCGAAACGACTGCACAAAGGGGGCACGAGGCGTCGAGGCAACGGGTGTCAATGCAATGATCCGCGTGACAGCCAGTGGTTCTGCACAGGGGAGAATCGCACCAGAAGGAAGCATGCCAAAGGCATGACGATGACACAGATACAAGGTCACCACATGCAAAGGAAAAAGGGAACACCGATGCTTCTAGTGGCGAGTGCAGAATGATCAAACCACAACAAGAGTCACAAAACTACTGCCACACAGCTGCAACCGTATTTATATCAACTCTCATCGGGGAAAGAGGTTTGCGCAAAGACACATTCACAGGGTAGCCCTGGAATACAAAACAACGGAATGGATAATTGGAAGCCGAAGCACAGGCCCCGGACAACCTCTTCACGAAACTTCACTTGTAGCTTAGCCTGTAGAACCAGCACATTTTCTGCACAGTTTTGCTTGAAGCCGTGCAAGGGGGTGGGAAATCGAAGATAATTAACACGTGCAGCGTGTGACGAGACCGGCACGACTACAGCTTCTGGTTGGCTGCATGCTGGAGCAAGGACAACATATGCTTTAGGCTTGGAAAGAGGGCCGATGTTCTTGCTTGCCATAACCAACTGCAACCGTCGCAAGAGAAAGACCAAGAACCCAAGCAAGACCACAGTCACTGCAGGGTGGGGTCAGAAAGTCCACTTACAAAGAGAACTCTTTCAAGGCACCCTTAAAGGCAATGCGGAAAACTCACAGGATGACACGATGTAGACATGCACCTGTTACATGTTTACTTGTGTACTGGCATATCGTCGAAACAGATGTGCTTGTTTGGGTCATCCAGGAGCTGTTCCTAGCACTCCGCCTCTCCAGGGAGGAGGAAAGAGCCAGGCGGCGCAAAAGCGAGCTTTGGGGCTTGGAGCTACAGGTGCTGCGTTCAGGGCATGTAGGGTTTGGCGGCTCAGTGCACAAGGGCGGGTTGTTGATGAAGAGCTTGTGGAGTGGAGTTCTTCTCACATGCGAGAACCACTCATCAGCACCGGGCTGTGAATGGCTTTGAGGATGCATGTGGATGCTTGCCACACGAATCTTTAAGCATTCGCACCTGACACATATAGGCCAACCCTGAACCCACGAATGCAACAGGCATAAACATCCGCGAAACCATCCTCTCAGCCTGAATCTAGCTTCTTAGCATGCAAGGCAGCAGGCGGCGGGGGGCGAGGCTCCAGCGGACGGCGCGGCCCCGGCTGCTGGGGACGCTCCGGCTGTGCGGGGCCTCAGGTGCTGTCTTGCTTGCAGTGCGCTGAGAGCGAGGCGTCAGGTGTTGCCTCAAAGGATTTTCAGATTGTGAATGCAACATAAGGCGGCACCAGCCACAACGCCCGCACCAGCCGCCGGGGAGCGCGGCTGTTTGCTTGGAGAGGGCAAGTAATACTGACTTGAAGCATACTTGGAAACTTGATCCAAACTTGATCCCCTTTTCAGCCCGCACGGACCTGAGAGGAGGCAGCTCCAGCGGCTTCGCTGCCTGTGGTCACCCCGGCGTCCAACGAATTTTGGACGACTTCAAGTCAACAGGATTTGTACAAGATTTCCGTCCAGTGTTCTCCTCGTCATCTTCTATTTTGATGCGTTGCTATGTGTTTGCCATGGCTACTAGTCGCACGAGTACTAGTAGTTGCAGTGCTCGCAGTGGTAGTGGAGTTGGTGCTGCTGGTGGTCGTGGTGGTCGCGGTGGTTGTGGTTGTAGTGGTGGAAGTGGTCGTGGTGGTGGTTGCGGTGGTTGTGGTGGAGGCAGTACAAGTGGCAGTACAAGTAGCGCGAGCGGTAGTGGTAGCGGAAGCGGTAGCAGTAGCAGCATCGGGTAGTAGCAGTGGCAGTAGCAGTGGCAGTAGCAGGTAGCAGCAGTGGCAGCAGCAGTAGCAGTAGCAGCAGCGGTAGTGGTGGTGGTGGTGGTGGTGGTGGTGGTGGTGGTGGTTGTGGTTCTGGTGGTGTTGGTCGTAGGAGTAGGAGTAGGAGCAGGAGCAGGAGGATGAGTAGTAGTGGTCGTAGTCGTGGTCGTGGTCGTGGTAATGGTCGTGGTAGTGGAAGTGGTAGTGGTGGTGGTGGTGGTGGTGGTGGTGGTGGTGGTGGTAGTGGTATTGGTATTGGTAGTGGTGGTGGTGGTGGTGGTGGTGGTGGTGGTAGTGGTAGCAGCAGGAGTCGTAGTGGTAGTGGTAGCGATAGCGGTCGCGGTAGCGGTAGAGGCACCAGCAGCAGGATTAGTAGTAGTAGTGGTAGTAGTAGTAGTAGTAGTAGCAGTAGCAGTAGTAGTAGTAGTAGCAGCAGCAGTAGTAGTAGTAGTCGTCGGAGCAGCAGCAACAGCAGCAGCAGCAGCAGCCACAGCAGCAACAGCAGTAGCAGCGACAGCAGCAGGCAGCCGCAGTAGCAGCAGCAGGAGCATCAACAGCATCAGCAGGATCAGCTGTAGTCTTGGTGCTGGTGGTGGTGGTGGTGGTGTTGTTGTTGTTGGTGGTGGTGGTGGTGGTCTTCGTTTCTTGTAAATAATCACTAGGTGGTTTTGATATCCCAGCTGCCCTTCAAGACCTTCTGCAGGCAACTTTAGTATTGCTCTGGGGCGCTGATGCGTTGCAAAAAGTTCCAGGTTTGTTTACACTGATTGTTGCACGTTTGTGGCGGATGAATGGCTTTCGTGTGGATTGAACCGGTCGGAAATGGGAGCTTCGGTGATCTCGAAATACCACCACTCTTAACGTCATGTTACTTATTCTGTGATGTTTTTCATAGCCTGTTTTAGCAGCTGATCTGTGCGGAAGACCTAGTCATGTGGGGAGTTATATTCTGAAGGTGCTTGTGCTCGTTCTGGAGCTCTGAGAATCGACTGCAGCTTTCATCATGGATGCGCCAGGCGACAGATGCTGCAGTCATGGAAGCCATGGGCCGCACAGCTCAGTTTTTTCGGAGCTTTTGTTTCAGCATCGCCTGTTTACTCGACTTTTGCTATTGACTTCTGTTCGCTGCAGAAACTGTTGGAGTTTATTCAACCGTTAAGGTTACCTTGTTGCTGTTGCAGCCCCAAGGCCTTAGGCGATAATATCCTTGTCCGTCTATGTGGGAAACTGAACTAGATTGCTCTGTGGGGTCTCAAGCTCAGGGTTCTGCCCGAGTGGTGGCAGCACGTCGATCCACCGCAAAGGTGACGTGAATCTCGAATAATTGGATTCTGTTTCTTAGTGTACCACCTCCATGTGATCATCCTGCAGCTGTCATAGACTTATGGCAGCACTTTTGCCGCCGTGCAGCTTCCCAAAATGCACCTTAGCTCTTCCTGTTTTAGGTGCGAAGGGTCTTCCAGAGAGTTGGAAGTCCTCGAAACAGGCATTGCCTAAGAAAAGTAGAGGTGGTTGCAATCATGCTAGTAGCATTGCCGTGATTTGTACTGCTATTAGTTAAGTCAAGCCTCGGAAGGTGTCAGACGACGATGATGCTGCTGATGATGATTTCGATGATGACGCATGACAGATTGCAGATGCGAGAGTTGGCGGAATGATCACTAAACCCGAAATGCCGACATCCTGAAAAACTTGGATTCAGAAATCGGGAGGTGTACCAGCAAAAGCCGACGGACTCAGGCATGGAAGACATGGATGATGAGTTACGGCAGGCCCTGCTCCTCTCCATGCAAGAGCCCGGACCTTGGCTCTTGGAGATATCTGCAGTGCATTTCCACAGTGAATGTGTTGATGAACATCGTACCAAGTTATGAACCTACAACAACAACCACTGCTACTACCATCGTGCTACTACGACTACTACGACTACTACGACTACTACGACTACTACTACTACTCCTACTACTACTACTACTACTACTACTACTACTACTACTACTACTACTACCACTACTACTACCACTACTGCTACTACTCTTCTGCTCCTACCGCTGCCGCTGCCACTGCCACTGCTACCACAGCACAGCTACTGCGCCCAATGCACAAGTTTCTATTGCAAGACCCCCTGCAACTAGCAGAATCTTAGGTCTCGCAGTGCAAGAATGCATGCTGGCACTGACTCTTAAGCGGCAAGATCCAGGATGGATCCAGGGGCGGCAGCCCCTGCTGCGACGGCTCCGGCGACAGCCCCGGCGGCTGCCCCGACAACCACCCCGGCGGCGGGGACGCAGCAGGGTTTAGTGAATGCTCGTGCTTGAGGAGAGAGCTGATTTGCATTCCCGTCAGACTTGTGGGCCAGGCTTCCGCTCCAGTGGGTATGGAAGGCCAGGCACTGTGGTTTGCTTCCGAGCTTCCACAGGGCGTGTAACCTATCGGGGGAACCAGCGTTTGCTTGGATGCGCCGATGCTCTGCTGGACCGCATCGTGAATTTCGGCTGAGTGTTACTGCTTGCCAGGCCAACTTGTTGTTGTGGGGTGCGTTTCGCCGTTGCAGTTTCTTTGAATGCTCGCACCAGACAGGTATCTAAATACTCCACACTCTTCGCGCGAGTTTTAGATCCTAAGCCCAACTAATCCCTACGGAGGCAGGCCGTCCAAGCATGTGGTGTCCTCTGTGCAGATCCCGGCGAGTTACCTAACATGGACAGGCATGGAGGACATGGACGACGAGCTGCGGCAGGCTCTCCTACTCTCCATGCAGGAGCTGCAGACTGAGCTGCAAAGCTTTGGGACCAAGGCCCCTTGTGCAACCTTGAAACCACGAGGCAGTCGGCTTCTTTTGGATCCCTCATGACCGCAGCCTACTCACAGCATTTTCGGGCCGCGCAGACGCCTCTTGTAGAAACCTTTCTTGGCTTGCCCTCCGCGGTCGAAGTCCCCGGCTTCGTGCCAAACCTCCGTGCTCAAAGTCCACCGAATGCAGTCCCAGGCCCAAGTTCTCCAAAGAGCCCCAACCTGGCCCCCCGATTTAGGTGGAGCTTGCATATTCTTGACTCCTAAGACCTCCGATAAGGTCGGAGGGAGGTGCGGCAGCTCAAGGTGAGACGCAGGTGCGTGTTTCGGCCGGGTTTCGAGTTTGTGTGGGGGACTTGGGATAGAAGCTACTTCGGCCTTGTGGGGTATTAGTTAGGGAGGTCTCCAGGAAGTTGTCAAAGTAGTCACTTCTGCCTTCATTCCTTGCTCTTGCTCTTTATTGGAAGGAGCCTGGACCTGGTGCTAAGAATTGCGGCTCTCGTCTTCAGCTTGGACCTACAAGCACTTCATCGTAGATCTTTCCGTAGAACCAATTGAGGGTTGCCTTTTGGCATGAGTTTTCTTCGCGCCCACTTCGGAATGATATTCACGAAGCAGTCGGAGGCTGGGACTTCTGGGCCCATCACCAAAATCTTACAATAATGTCGGGTGAAGGTTGCTGGTACGCTGGAGAGCACCTTCAAGAGTCCGTTGTCAAACCCTTTTTCTACAGGCATCGGCTCCGAAGCGAAAGGCGGAGGAGCTGGCAGAGGCCAGGATTGATGTGAACCGAAGCCTTCTAAAGCGAGTAATGTATCCGAAAAGGCCGCTTGAACCCCAAAGACCCCCCAAAGACCCTACAACCCGAAGCTGGGAGGACACCGAGATGAAGACAGGCGAAGCGCCGGCCTCCAGCGAGGCATCTGCGTCGGATTTCGGCTCCGTGCCGTGCCCTTGAAACATAGCCACATTGCTTTAGCTGCTCTTATTGTGATGGGGGTTGTGTTCAGGTAGCTGTTGCTGCCGTCACTACTTCTGGTCTATCCTGCACCGATTGTAACTGCTACTTGTAGGTGGCTTGCGGAAACGGTTCCAAAACAGCAATTGCCGTTCTTTGCCTCGTGTCATCGCAACCGTCATCGTCAGCACTAACATCATCCTCATAATCATCTGTTGGAGCCGCAACATCGCACTGGACAGCCACTGCCACTGCCGCTCGCTCGGACATTGCTTCCAGTACCAGTGCCAGCACCGGCACCGGCACCGTTGTCACAAGCAGCAGCACAGCAGCAGTACTAGCAGCTGCGGGAGCAGCAGCAGCGGCAGCGCCACAATTGCCGTTACCGCAAGCACCACATGTAGCACCGAGACCAATGCCGCCAATACGACCAACACTGTGAGCACAATCACAACCGAAGCGACGTGTGCAAATCTGTGCTTCTTGTTCCACAGTTTTCGAACATTTCTGCTGTTGCACCTGCCTGCCACAATCATTGCGACGACGACGACCGCGATGAGGAGGACGACCACGATGACCGCGACGACCAATATGCTGCCGCTGCTGCTGCTGCTGCTGCTGCTGCTGCTGCTGTCAAACCGCATTTTTTTAATGCTGCTGCTGTTGCAATTATTACTACTACTACTACTACTACCACCACCACTACTACTACTACTCCTCTAATTGTCAGCCTTGCGCCTCTCCCCTCCTCGCCCCAGGGGAAGCCGGCAGATGGCGGCGAGGCCCCTTCGAATCGTCTGGATGGTGCGGGAACCTTTTTTTCCGTACCTTTAGTTCTGGCAGTGCTGATATTTTTGCAGTATTGCTAATTCCAGTCTTGCGGATTTCTAGCACACGGATTTCTATGAGTCTTGCGCCTCTGGTGTTCCTAATATTGCTGTCGGGGAGACGCAGGGTTGCCCGGTCATACTATTTATCACTTTTCCCACATCCGAGCATGGACCGGGCCCTCCCGGACCTCTTGCCAGACCCTGACCGGATCGTGAATTGCCTCCGACCCAGCATCCTTGTCATTACTGACGACAGCAGCAACCCTCGTCATCGCCATCCTCCTCCTCATCGTCGTCATCATCATGGCCATTTCGATCGTCATCGCCATGGTGATCATGGGTACTTGTGTGTTCATCAATATTCCATCACTGGCCACCCGCATCATGAGTATCATCACCATCACCAGTACTACTAGTGATGCGTGTCTGTCTGCCCTCCCCCTGGTGTGTGTGTGTGTGTGCGGAAATTAGCTCGCCTTTATTTCAACGGTTAAGGCTAGACTACATCCTTGAAAGCATGTCGTCGCTTGCTCGGAAGCCCTTGAGTGCACACGGCATGTCTAAACTGTGATGTGCCCGAAAAGTCCAAAATCACGGAATGAATTGGCGATTCTTTTTGCCTAATCCGATCCTCTTGACGGCCGCTGCCAAGTTCACGCCTATCATCAACCGTTCCGGCAAAGTTCATGTGGATGTTTGCAGTTTCGGACCATTTTGAGGAGGTGGATAGAGGCTGAGAAGGGTGGGGCTCAACCGAAACGGGCTTGGCAGGGAAGCAGCTGGTTGCCAGCGGCTCAAGCACAACTTTGCTCTGGGATTTGCAGCCCTTCCGTGCTCAAACCTCATGAGACCTGAGCCCCCCATCCCCACTGTGCTCAGCCCCGAAGTCCCTGGCAAGCTATTGCTGAATGGACTCGGTGTGTTGCCGCTCAGCGGAAAGGTGCATCCTCGCGTGCCGAGGAGGAATCGTATTCTGGAATCCATGAAGCTTCTCGTTCGCGGCATTTCGAACACTCCAAAACTTCAACCTTGGAATGTTCCAAATGTTCTAAAACCACTGCTTGTTGGAGCCATCGCCTAAAGGCATGAAAAACACCTCGCACACAGTGGTGTGTCCGAAAACAAGGAGTATTCCAATAATACTGGAGCGTAACATCGGAGCCGTTCATCACCGGACTTAGCATCGCTTTTTCTGCACGTGGGAAGAAGTTCTTGGCCAAGGCGGCTAGGTCTCTCGACCTTGCTGACACGGAATCTATTCCCGTCTGGTTGTTGCCCTTTGTTTCTTCCCGCTTTTCGGGTCTTGTGAGCGCCACTTTACTTGCCGCCTCCTTCTCTACACTATCGGCACGGCTGTGCCATGAACTTCTCGTACTGCCAGTGTGGCTAGATCTCGAAGTACAAAGGGGGACTTACAAATGGACCTTCACATGTCCCCCAAACCAATTCCTACACCTGCGCCGCAGCTCTGCTTTCTGTGTTGGCAGGCCGTCCTGGATGGTAGATGGTTGCAGGATCCCAACTTCGTTCAGGCCTGGCGTTCTGGTTTTAGAGGGGGAAGTCTGAACCGGAGCTTGAATTGAGCTCTTGAAGGGTAGCCTGCGCATGTTGCCGCGCTGCGGCTGCTTACATTGGGGATGATTCGATTCGTGCGGAATCCTCCAGTGCATGATTCGAAGGAAACGGCTGTTGCTCAAAACGACGGCTTCGTGCGGTGGATTTCCTGCCTCATGGGAGTCCATGCAGGTTTGCTTACTATTGATTGTTCGAGCAAGCCTACAGTGTTGCTTGCAGGCCGGGTTTTCGTAGCGGCTGCTCCAGATTTAGAGTCGGATTAAAGTTTAAAGCTGTATCGGGTGGCAGACCGTGTACTCCTTGACCTCGTGCCGGTCCCCTCATCCCCACATTGAAATGCACTGCTTGAAGGAGTTGCTCGGGTCGCTGCCGGACTCCCATCTTCAGAGCTGTGCGTCAGGATGACGGCATGTGCCGCGGGTTTCGGTCTAGAGTCTAGAGGGGAGTTTGGGACCGCAGGCTTCAAATCGTAGAGCGCTGATCCAAACTTGGTGTTCGAGTCTTGGAGGTTTCGGGCTCCTAGGTATCATGGCTTAAGCAACTCCTCGATGGTTGAAGTCTTGTAAGATGCATACCGACAGTGTTGAACCCGCATCCTGGAAGATCCTGTCGCATGCTGCAGCAATCGTGCATGTGGCAGTGCAGCCGGCAGCATGTGACGAGGCCCGGTGTCGACATTGATGATCCGCGAATTCAGGATGCTTTGAAAGAGGCCGGGACTTCACCGGTGCAGCTCCTTTCAAGACCTTCATCTCTGTCTCTGAATCGCTCGGAGGTCAGCGGTGCTGCAAAGAAGGCCAAGGGGCTGCATGAGCAAGGGATGGAGGGCACCATGCCAGCTATGGAGTGGTGCACGGTGGGAGTCAAGAGTTCAGAGCTGTCTGGGGAAACTTCAAGTACTGAAGTCTTCGGGCTTGGACAGGATGAAGGCGGCTCGGACGACAAGAAAGACGACAAAAAGTAGTGATTGCTGCCTTTGGGCAGCCTCGACCGTCGCAAGGCCGCAGCAGCAAATCTAACACCCCAGGCCGGGCCAAACGGCTGTACCTAGATCCTGGTCCACATGGGACCTGGGCTTGAGAATGCACATGTTGGCCATCATGCAGTTGATAGACGCAAACTGGGATCAGATGCTGCAAGGCCTGCTACCGCCTTGCAGAAATGTTCACATCCTTGACCTCAGGCATCCGTGATGGTGTGCGAAGTCTTCCAAGCAGGTGTAAGTAGTAAGAACTGCTGGCTAAGCTTCCTTGGGCAATGCCTGTGAACGAGCTCATACAGAAGCCTTGTGAGTTCAAGTCAAAGGACGGGATTGCAAGGACAGATAGCATGCCGCGGAGCAAAAAACTTGCAGCTGAGCGGCCAGGGTGCCCGTCCTCTTCAGGGTCCAGGGTATGTTAGGGTATCATTTGTGCAGACTTCTGTAAAGGCAGCCGCAACCGCCGGCTGGGCTGTGAGGTCTCGATCTCAATGGAGAAGTGTCCCATCAATGCAAGCAAGGGTTGCCAACTCGGGCTTGTCAGGGTTCAAAAACCTACACCCTTGCATGTAACGGTAGCATAATCTCGTGGATAGGTTGCGGCCAGATGCGCCATGGGAGCCAGCCAAAGCTTGTGTCGAGCAAAGGCTACTGGTTGCGACTGGGAAGGAGCTCCTGCTCCAGTTGAGGTCATCGAGGCTGCAGCAGCTCCACCTGGACAAGATGCCGTCGAGTCAGAGGAGATTATTTCCCGTTTTCAAGCGGCCATTCCAGGGGCTACGTCTGAATGCGGCAGTGAGATTACTGCTAGGCAAGACAGCAAGACTCATCGACGTGTTCTGTTGAACCGAGCATTGGTTCCGGATGTCGACATCATGCGCGGCATCTCTCTTCAGAGCACGCTGGTTTGGGGCGGTCGGCTCTGGCGTTTGGCACCGTCGCTACTGCCAGAGAAAGAGTTAGCAAACAGGTAGGTGCGTTCGGTCGTTCTCCTTCATGTATATAGGGGCCCAAATAATTGCCAATACTACTTTCGGGGGTTCCTTGTTATAAACATAGTATGATGGGCACCAAAACCCTATTCCAATTATTAAGTCCTACATTATTGTGTCCTTGAGAGCTCGTGGGGCTCTTCAGCTTATCCACGTTTGGAAGGCGTGTAGCCCCCGAGGTGGCACCACTCCAGGCGGGTCGAGAACTTCGACGTCTTTCTTTCTCACACTTGGCGCACCAGAGGACACACCAAAGACTCTTCCAGTTTCTGTAGTGATTCAACTGAACTTAAACCATGCCTCTGTTTTTCGCTTGCCGCCCAGGACTCTCGAAGTTCGTTTCTCTGTCACTTCAGTGTGGCTGGCTTCGTATTTTTCTCGCTTGGGTCTTCGCGATCCTCATATTGGAGATTCTGGCATTCTGGGACGTTCTTTCCCCCCACATCCTGGTTCAGGCAGGGTGTTTTCGACTTTCTGGATGTGAGCGCATCACAATGTCGGGAGCTGTTTAGGCATTTGGAGTAGTTGAAGCCAGGTGAGGTTGCTTTTTCTGTTGCTGTTGCTGCTGCTGTTGGTGGTGGTGTTGCTGCCCTTGGTGTCGACGTCACGTTTGGTAATCGCCGACGGCAGCACCGCCATATCTGATTTTCCAGCCCAGCAATCAGCATGGTGAGGACCACCGCCGCCATCACCACCCTCGCCACCCTCACCACCCTCACCACCCTCGCCACCCTCACCACCCTCACCACCCTCTCCACCCTCACCACCCTCACCGCGATTACCAAAACGATAATCACCACGAGGTTTGTGAGCATTGTGTCACCGTCACCACGACCTTCGTCTATACTACCATCTTCATCATCATCCGTGCTGTCACCCTCACTGTCACCACGTCTGTCACCACCAGCGTGACCATCACCAGTCTCACCGTCTCCATCAGCATCGTCAGGAAGCTCACAGCCATCAGCACCTTCGTCTTCACGACTCTTCACAGTCCCCAGTACCATTATCATCTTCATTCCCAGAAACATCACCGTGCCCATCTTCACGGCGGAAAGTTGGGAAATGAGAGCAAGTCGGATAACAATGAAGAGGAGTCGAGGGAGCCTCTGCGTTCCAGTTAGCATTACGGCTTCGGCGGCTTAGGGATCGGGGTCGAGGGAAAGTCGAGGCCGCGCTTGGAAGCGTGTGTTGGCGAGCTTGGAATTCTGAAATCACCTTATTCCCATCTCCTCCTCGACCATTGCCACCTCCTAAATCTTCATCTGCATGTTCATCTTAATCGTTATCTTCATCACCTGTGTCATTATGAACATCGCACCTCAAAGCAAGGTGGGGCCGACCAATGGCCCCGACCACCTCTTGTCTTCAAGCCACCAGACCCTGTGTACAGTGCAGCTGCCTGTTGTGTCAAAGACCATCGCCTGGTGCATTTTGAGGTCACCTTTGAGGGCAAGGACTACGTGTGCCATTTCGGAGCCCGTGGCGAACAAATGACTTGCATTGGGGTTCCTGGTGTTGAGGGTGCCGTTGACATTTCAGATCTCTGATCACCTTCAAAGTTCTCAGTCGCAGGATCCACAAATGGAGTCCCAGCAGTTTGAGGCTTCAGTGGTAAACAAACAATACGCTCCAACCGACAGCCGCAAACAATGGACATAGCCAAGAGGAGCATGGGGGCTCTGCTTGAGCAACCTCGCGTCTGTGATGGTTTTCATCATGGCTCCTGGCGGCGCCAGCAAGTTCTGCTTCCTTGATGTTGCAAGCGCCTGGGCCACATCGCCTGACATGCCAGCCTGAGCGGGTCTGTGCAGTTCTCGTGCCCCAAGAATCAGAGAAGTGCTCACCTCTTGACGTTAGATTGCTGTTGTGTTATGCTTATTACGACAATTGAACAGATGATGGTGGGGTGAAGATCGGTGGCGATGGCAGTGGCGGCAGTGGAAATCGCAGTGGTGGTGGTTGCGATAGATGGTGAAGGTCATGAGCCTTGTGACAGTGACGCTGACCGTGGTGATGGTGATGACGCTGCTGATGATGATGGTGATGTTCGCGAGGATGATGATGATAGAAAAGTATCAAGAAGAAGACGATGATGGTTGTGGTGAGTCGGGGTAGTGGTAGTGGTGGTGACGGTGGGACCGTGGTGATGGCGGTGATAGTGTTGTTGTCATTGTTCTTCTTCTTGTGGCGGTGGCGGTGGCGGTGGCGGTTGCGGCGGCAGTGGCGGTGGCGGTGGTGGTCGTGGTGGTGGTGCTGTTGGCGTTTTTGCTGCTGCTGTTGTTGTTGTTGCTGCTGCTGCGGCTGTTTCTTTAGCTGCTTCCGCTGCGGCTTTTGCTGCTGCTGCGGCTTCTGCTGCATCCGCCGCGGGTACGAGCTGCTACCTTCATGTTCAGCATGCCAGGCAAGTTTGCAGGGTTTCTGCTTCCCCCAGCAAGCCGATCCCGCGAAGCAAAGCAGCTGTCGAAATTTTGCCAAACAGCGCCGATCGAATATGGTTAGTACGGAGAGCTACAGAACAAGGGTGTGAAGAGGTAAGCAGAGGCCGTCATATGCCTTCAGCCGAGGCATCAATCAAGCGGACAGCAACATGAAGGAGCCTGGGAGTATCGGTGTGCTGTCGACCGTAGACGTGAAACCTTTTTGTTCCATTATAGACATTTCGATGCAAAGAGTACTGTGTGAGTTTTTTGTTCGCGTGTGCTTTGAAACTTCAGGGCCTTAGCCTTAGTATTACAACTCATCATGCAGTCCGCTGTCTTTTCGAGCGGCCTCATTCTGGCGAACCGGCTGTCGTAGGGCAGTTCGTGCGCATGGTTCGGGGTCGTCAAAGCGACCGTCAGCCAGCCGAATTCGCATCAGAACAAAGCAAGCCTTCCGTGCTAACTAGTTGAAGGAGCGCGGAATCTTCGGGCTCGGCGGCTTCCTCAAAGTCTCTCAGGCGAGGGCTCTAGGCCAAATATGCTAAGTTGGGGCTTAGAGTCTTAGAGGGTAGAGTTGCGTGGTTCAGAGTGGGGTGCAGGGTTGCAGCTTACGTTCGAACCGCTACGCAGCCAGCCCTCACGTTGGCCTCAATGAGCCGCGAAGCTAAGGCAGGTCTTGCTTGCAAGTGTGTAGTTGATTGAAGGTTCAGGGATGTTCCATGGGACCAGCTCACTGCTGCGGAAGTCAAGCACACACAGACTTGGAAGCCCGAGAGATTCATCGACACGCGCTGTATCTGCCTCCCAGGAGCTTCGAATCCTCTGGTCACGTCCATACCTGCTCCTTGTCTTGACGACCGCAAAGGCTTGCACATGAACCACATTGGTTATGCATAGTCCAGGCATTCGGGTTGATGGATCATTAATGAATAATTGTGAAGTTCAGACTGGAGAGCTAGCTCCTGAGTCTGTGGTCGCTTTTAAGCACCCGTCTAACTGCTTCTACGTATGCACAGGTTGGCATCAACTATTGACATTTTGACATTTTGGATCCCGAGGTCCCGACTTTGGTGCATATTCGAGATCGCCGCATATCGGTTTGCCAATCCTCAAGGCCGCATTACATTCGCACCATTGTTCCTCGAAAATACAGTTGTCAAGCTCTGGCTGGGAAACTACGTGACCATGGTGACCTTCATGTTGTTGTTGATTGTGGTGGATGCCGCTGCCGTGCTGATGTTACTTCCTGCTTTTCTTCCACTTTGCATGGTGTTCCATTTCCTGCGGAAGAATCTGCTTGCAAAGAAGGAACTTTTTGCAGAGTTGCGAAACTTTGACCTGAACAAGGTGGCATGCAAAAGAGAATTCGACCGGAAGTTCATCTACTCAGCCATAGAGGAGTGGTACGGCAGCCAGGAAGCCTTCACCGCCTTTGTTCGCGGCCCATTGAAAGAAGAGCTGTTAGCCAAGCAGGCCGACACCCAGTTGCCGCTCAAGTACACGCTCATCATCATGACGCCAGTACTGAGCGTGGGGATTGATGGCTTGTTGGGCTTTGTCAAAGGTGGCATGCCTTTAGACTTTCTTATCTGCTATTGCTTTGGCATCCTTCTTGGCCTGCTTTTGCTCTGGTCCGCCGCGTCTCGGCGTTGACTTTCGGGCAGAAGCTTGTCAGTAAGCGGGACGACAGGAAGGTCTCGTTTAGATATCCCTACACCCCGAAATCTTGAAGTCCATCAGGTGGCGATTCGTATAGCCGTGGTTCTTTGCGACCGATTGGCCGCTCCTTACAGGCCGGGCTGTTTCGACACCTGGACAGAAATTTCATGTTTTGGCCTCGCATCATCTAGGAGTATCTAGGATACGATTATAGGGGAGTTGCAGGGACAACAATAGACTCGTTTTCCCTTTCAGCTTCATCTTCTTTGCAGTTGCGTTTGTCAATACATGCGCACTTTCAGTTCCACCACCGTCATCATGCTTAGCTTCGTCATTATCCTCATCATTCTCATCAGCATACTGCAGACACGATGCTCGAGGTCGAACATCGCCACCCCAACAATGCCCCTATCAGGCTTGACATGACGAGTAACTAGGCAATGGGTGAAGGGGCCCGTGGGTCCAGCAATCGCCCGCAGAACCCCCGCAGACGAATTAAAAAGCAAAGCTAGTTGGCTAAGCTGCAACGGAGATGAGGTAAGTGTGATAAGTTTTGAATGAAGCACCCGAGTAAACTGGAAAAGTCTTTTCGGTGTTGCACTCAGGCTTGGAGATAGTCAGTTCGTCGCTACTGATGATCATGTGCGAAGGTTAAGTCTCGGGCTCCAGTGACTCGTGGTATGTTATACCCACGCACAAGCCAGGCAGGCGTTTTGAGGTCAGGGGGTCCTTTAAGGTGCCAGCCTTTAAAGGGCTTCTGACGAACCCAGGATTATCTGCAAAGCGTGCTGGTGTTCTTGTCTTCCGTGGCGATTACCTTTGCCGGGATTATCATCGCAGCACGCACGTATGTCAGAGGCGAAGCTTACACGTTCGCGTGGCTCGCCGGTGCATCGCTAGCCTGCTGGGCGACGCACGGAGGTTGCAAGTGTCTGGCTACCCACATGGTATGCAGCATCGCCCACTCCAAAAACCAGCAGGCCTTTAGCGACTCTGTTGTGGCAGTACAGGTGTAGCTTTAGGTGATTCATGTTTTTCACGCCGTTGTTGAGACCACTGCGGCGACTTCCGGAGCATGTTGACCTGCCGTAGCTGCAGGCAGCAGACTTCGGAAGTTTATCGCTATTGCCATGCGTTTTCGATCCCCAAAGTGGTTTCACCCATCGCTCGAACACGAGCCTGAGTGCTATTCCAGAGCAGACTGATGCCCGCATTCTCCTGTGCCAGGGCACATTTGCAATCGTGCAGGGTGAGCTCCTCCATTCGGACTGCAGGTCGTGAGCGATTGAGAAAGGACGCAAGACCGCTCGATGCTGCAACGCATGTCTACAGGACTGCATGTCGAGACAGGCTTGTCCAGGGGCTCTACAAACACAGTTTCGCACTTGTAAGGTCCGTCGGTCAAAGAGGACCCAAAAAGCCGAGAAGGAATTGAGTTTTTGTCTTCACGGGTATGCTGCATGCTGGAAGCTTCGGGCAGGCAGAAGCGCTTCAGGGGTTCAGATGAGGGCAAAGGCTTAATTGTGCGAATCAAAATCCCCTGTGGCTCTTAGTTCAGCGAAGCGGATAGTGGGCCGCACCCCTCCTCCGTGGCGAACGACGGGCCAATAGTTACATGCCGGGGACTTGGTGTAATGCTCTGATACCAGGGGCTTGAGATGTCCTGCTGAAGTTTTAGGATATAGGTACCACTGCTACGGTGTTGTCATCATTGTTGTAGTAATAGCAGTAATAAAACTTTCCAGAAATAATCAATCGGTGCTATGCTTGTTATTAATATCTTGTTATGAGCATGATTGGTCTTGGTGAGAAGTCGCAGTCGCAGCTGCAGGAGCGGGAGCAGGAGCAGGAGCAGGAGCAGGAGCAGGAGCAGGAGCAGGAGCAGGAGAAGGAGCAGGAGCAGGAGCAGGAGCAGGAGCAGGAGCAGGAGGAGTAGCAGCAGGAGTAGCAGCAGGAGTAGCAGCAGGAGTAGCAGCAGGAGTAGCAGCAGGAGTAGTAGTACAGCAGTAGTAGTAGTAGTAGTAGTAGTAGCAGTAGTAGTAGTAGTAGTAGTAGTAGCAGAAGCAGTTGCAGTTGCAGTTGCAGTTGCAGTTGCAGTTGTAGTTGCAGTTGCAGTTGCAGTTGCAGTTGCAGTTGCAGTTGCAGTAGCAGTAGCAGTAGCAGTGGCAGTAGCAGTTCCTTCGAGTCCGAGGCTGCCTCCTGCCTCCATGGGTGGGGTGGCGAGGCCGTCCTCAAGCCCAAAGTGTCAAACTTCACTCCATGCTGCGGTTGAGGTTTGGATGTAACGGTGCGGGGTTTAGGGTGCGGGGATGTAGAATGCATAGCTTGGGGCTTTGGGTCATGCAGGGTTGGGCACAGACTCTGATGATCTGTGATGCCTTGGGAGGCGGATACCTTGACGAGGCAGATATTTGATGTAAAGGTTCCTTTGTGTGGCAAGCTTGCTTCTTTGATTTAGGGAATAGCAGATGCAGACTCACACGGGTCCGTAACTATCATGAAGGATCACTCAGACATCTGTGCCCTTTCTCGTAAATAACTAAGCACGGCAAGCAACCACAGCCGCAGCGCCGAACCTCGGTTCTCCCGCCCCGCACTCTCAGGAGCCTCGGGGCAACTTCCCGGAACTTCGGCCGCAGGCCGATGGGCACTGCTTTCGGGGCTTTTCATTGTTGTGGTGTTGTGCGCTCTTCCGTGCACTTTCTCTCTTTTCTGGTGATTTGCTTTTGGTGTGTGTGTATGTGTGTATGTGTGTATGTGTGTTTGTGTGTGTGTGTGTGCGTGTTGTGTCTGTCTGTCTGTCTGTGGGTGGCAGTTGTGCTTGTTTTTCTTGTCCAGCCGTTGGGGGTTTGGGTTTGCTGTCCGTTGTCAGATGTGCATGGGTTTTCTCAGTGGTCGTTCGGATCAAAAGGTTGTGAGGTGTTCTTCGGACTCCGGAGTGATGGTGCTGTTCTAGCAGCCGGGGCTTGTGGCCAGCTTAGGTGCCCTTTGAGCTCCTACCATAGTTTCAGGACCAGCTTCTGCTCGAAAATTCCAGCCATCCCTGTAGCCTCATGCACAAAAATCGCCAGCCGAAAACCAAGTGAAATCAAAAGGCTTGCTCAAATCGCCTTCTCAATGCATCTCGGCCTGCTTACCTCTCAAACATTGGCCTGCATCAGGATTCTTGAAGTTAGCTTGAAGGCAGACCCCCGAACTGTCTCGTTGCCGTAAGCCCTCCGACCTTGACTGGTCCCGACATGCCAGCCGCCTCCTGGCACTTGCAGCGCTGGCAGTGGCATGCGGGTTCGGGTCCAATGCTGTTGCTTGGGGGGAAACACTTTACAGTGCTACAGCAGGATCTCGCCTTTTTCAAGCATGGAAAGCTTGCCTCGCAAGCTTCGGTTTCCGCGAGGCTTTTAATTTCAATCTACATCAACCCAAACCCCGAAACAGCAGTCCTTTCTGCAGCCGTGACACTTGCTTCATGGTGAATCTGCTTCACGAAGGCCCCATGGTGGTGCTGTCGTTGTTTGCTTGTTTCTTCAAAAACAGAGAGTTTCGGGCTACATCGACGCGCGGGCATCAGTAAATTCGTACGTCGCACTTGCTTAGGTGCTGTGCCTTCGTCCTTGGTCCGGCTCCCTCGCCACTGAGGGCCTCTTCGAGGCACTGGGGCCTTGGAAGGAGGCTAGAACTGGCAGGATCTCTCGTTTGGCTCCGGAGGGTCCTGCTTGCAGCATGGAAGCCATACCCTGAAAGCCTTAAGCTCCAAAACTGCAGACAATACAGTCTGAAGACCACCCCAAGACCTCAACCTGAATGGCCCGCCAAGCGGGTCGCATCTCACAGGACGCCAGAGAGAGATAACGCCGAGGCTCCCGAGGACTTCGCGTCACCAGGTGACCGATTCTTGTCTTTGCGTCATCTCGATCGGTGAACGCTCGCTGTGCATTTGAAGCTTCTTGCATTCTTCCAAGTCTGGGTCATGGAGAGGTTCTACGGATGTTTGGGCTTAGCGTTTAGGCGCTGTACGGCTTAAAGGCATCAGGGTCTTCGTGTTGAAGTCAGCTTCAGGTTGAGGGCAGGGAGCGCTTCTTTCTTTTGGCTTCATCACAGGTTTGGTCTTTCCGCGATTTTGGATGTTTTTCGGTGTTGTGTGCGTGCCTCAGCCAAGCGCACATTCATCAGGGTTCTAACACTAAGATGAGAGGACGAGGCATTTATCGGAGTACGGTCGAATAACATGAAGCACCATAGCACCGACACTTGCAAGCCCGCCAACCATTGTTTTAAGCAAAATCGAGTCAACAGTGGAAAGTTGTGCTCTGGTTTCGCACTGCGCAGGTACTGCATCGGAAGTGAACGAGATTCTGAACCCGCAAACTCCAAGTCTACAGGATCAACCGCAGTGCAGCCTCGAACCCCGAACTTTCGAACTCTCAGGCAGGTACTTAAGGTACACAAACTCTTTGAACGTTTACAAAGTTCTTATGGTGTCCTTGTCTCCCTTGCGAGGTTGTGGCCGTTATAGTAACTCTCAAGCCTGCAGGTGCAGGCAGCCGCACCGCAGCGTTTTTCGGATCCGCGGCTGTCGCCGTGGCGGCCACTCTGTCTGCAGTACTCTGAGGGGTTCTCTACAGCGTTCTTTCGGAGTTTTGTCAGGCAGGGCAGTCCCCTACAACCAGTCTCGTTTTAAGGCCGCTTTACCTCTATTGGAATGTCGGCAAGTCTATTGCCGAGGGCGCCATGGGTCCGCAGGTTTTCCGTATTTAGCTTTTTGTTGCCCTCCATTGCTTTCCCGGTTGATGCAGACCCAACTGCATGCTACAAAGCTTCAGACATGCCCGCTATGAGCAGCTCGCTCAGTGTCCAATAACAATAATAGTTGTTGTTGTTGCTGTTGTTGTTGTTGTTGCTGGTGGTGGTGGTGTTCCTCTTCCTCTTCTCGTCGGTGGTGCTGGTGGTGGTGATGACTTTCGGCAACCGGTTATCGAGCATCGCCTCAAGCTATCACCCCGCCGTCACGGCTCTGATGATTATCCCTGTGTCTTCAGCCTCTGAGACCATAGATCCTCTAAGACTCTAGGGTGCTCAACTTCAGGTACTGCCCCCATACATATATCTATATTATGAATGTTACTCAACTATTTCTGAGTGCGGGGCCGTACCCAAGCTTAACCCCAGGCCCTGTCACACCGTTTCACTCGAGCCAGTGACCCTGAAGTCCGAGGTCCTCGCCTCGAGAGTAGCCAGCACGTTTTCCCAGGCACAGCCCTCGGTATGATGCTTATGATTCTTTATGTTCCGATGAATCTAGGACCTAGGTATTCTTATGTGTTTTCCGACTTTCATGCCTGCTCATTCTCTACTTCTGTGACCAGGGCCAGGCGTGTTTCGAAAGCTTGGGTGACAGTTGTGGGCTGGTAGGTAGGCTTTGGGGTTTGGGGCTTTGGGTTCTGAACGGGTATTGAGTATGGTTGCTGGTGCATGCAGGGTTGAATCTTGGGGGTCTCATCAGGGTTTACGGGGCATACTGTCTCTGCCACTGTTCTTGTTGTGGTTGCTGCTGCTGCTGCTCCTACTTCTGCTACTACTGCTGCCACTGCTGCCACTGCTGCCACTGCTGCTACTGCTGCTACTGCGACTGCCACGGCCAGTGGTACTGCTGTCGCTACTCCTACGACTACGACGACGGCGTACCTGTGACTTAGGACCCACAGCCACGACCACGATGCGGCCTGCGACGGTCCACGACTGCGACTACGGCGACTACTACAACTGAGTACTGCGACTTCTACGACTGTGACTAGCACGACTGCTACGATCGTCGACTGGGACTGCTACATCTACTGCAGCTATCAGGACAACGGCTACCGCTTCAATTGCGACGACCACGACGATTACTGCTACTGCTACCGCTACAGCTACAAACACCACTCAAAGTGGTTGCAACACAAACTGAAGCTACTACTACTACTACTACTACTACTACTACTACTACTGCTACTACTGCTACTACTACTACTACTACTAC